ACAGCTGATTATAGTAACGAAGGCAGTCCAAGAGAATATGCATGTTCTCAGTGTATGTCAAATTAGATCACAGCGAGGGGGAGATCCGGCACGCTGACCCCCGTCTCTTCCCCTCAGACAATTGGTCGCTTATGGAGAGGCTCTGTAAGCAGGCCTGTGGAGCACACTGTACTGGATGGCTATTCGCCATCAGAAATGGCAGTGCTCAGAGAGGACAAAGAAAGATGGAGATCAGGGATTTGGACCAAATAGTGAAAGTAACTGCCTGTCCACTTATATAGTGAGGATATTTTTTGGAATAAATTGTTGACATGTGATGAACAGTTGTGTTACTCAGTTGTAAGCTATCACCTCTATTGAAATAATCTAAAGTCTGAGTTTTTTTGTGGCTCTTGTGCGGCCGCTGGAAAGAGTCAGTTTTGATTACAAAGTAAATGCTGCAGCATTAGACAGGGGTTACATGCTGATATGCATTCTATCAGGATGATTTATGCAAATTATGCACATTATTCCCGCAGGAATCTCTCTTCTCAAAGTGCCAGGATAAATTGCCGGAAATTAGCCATAAAATTCAGTGTGCAGGGAGTGTGAGGTGAAGGCCGCCGAGGAGCCAAGGACATGGGGCCGTGGTGGTTCCGCTTGGCCTGGTCTGCATCCCCCATGCCTGGCATTCATGGCTGTTAAAGACCTCTGCTCAGACAGATACACTGAAGCCTGCACTAGCACTCAGCGCATCAGGAGGATCAGCCAAGCAAGTGTACGACTAACGGCCCAGTTTCATGCTCCAATAAGACGATTCATTTCAACAGGACCAGGCCCTGATTGTTTACCATATTTTACACAGTTTAAAATTTAATATATTATTAATTTACTTTGATTATTTTTTACTCGTAGAAAGGTTATATAAGATCGTCTTGGGCAGATATGGCTGAGTACAGTTGATGTTTTTTATTGATTTGCTGTTTATGGGCATTTGTGTGCCCTTGTTTACAAGAAAGTTGACCTTGTTCACCATAAACCTTAATCTTCATTACATTTGTAATCAGAAAACTGCCCTGAAACTGGGAAATGAGCAGTTGTTAAAGTAGCATGTAAACAAATGGTTGTCTGTTTAAGTGACATCGCTCCTTCATTAGACACAAGCTTCTCTATGGCATAATCCATGTGTGTGTGTTCTGCGCTGTGTGAGTGTGCTGAGCGGACACTGATTCATAGTGTTATTGTGTCATCCTCATGTCTTTATTCCACTGAGGAGCCGGAGTTAATGAATATCACAAAGTCAAGATGAAATCCACTTGGCTTTAGCATCAGTGAACCTTGGGCGCCCGCGATCTGCATATTGATCAGGCAGGTGATCCCTGTCTTCAACTGCCTGGTCCTCTTACAGTTACACACATTAATATGACCATAATACTTGTAACCTATTACCTATTGTGTTAAAAAAAAAGTTTATATTTGTATATTCAATAGTAAAATCCAATCAAGATATATCCTGTTGACATCTTTATAATTGCAATGAGATATTTTAATGATTTTTACCATCTTTCGAAACAGCTATAAAACTACTTCAACACATTGTCTTGTTATAATGCGAGATTTAAAAAACAGTGTTTTGACATTTTCACAATCTTAAACTTTAACATGATTTTTATTAAATTCAAATATACTTAAATCACTTTATGTTATCTATTTTTGTTTTGCCGACACTCAAAATTGTTTTTGTGGGAAATCCCCCAGACAACAGCACAAATGACTACAGTACCATGGCACATTTCAATCCCACGGGAATAAAAGAACATCAGATTAGGGCATGAAGACTAGCCATCAGTAAACGGGGATTAGGGGATTGGGACATAATCAGATTATTGTGGAGGCAGTTAGAATATTAGAGTTGTTACTCAACAATTGTATTCCAGATGAGAGGACGTCATTTATTGCTCCCTGTTAGAGCTTTCAGTGTTGAACACGCCACCATATGTTTACCTGACCCCAGCCTGCCTCTCTGAACAACATTCCCAATGAAATGAATAAGGAACACATTAAAAGAGAAGCAAACTGTACTATCAAATAATATATACTCCAATACAACTGAAACATTTAATCAGTTCTACATGATGCAGAATAAAAATATAATTAAAATGCATTTTTCATGTCAAGTGTATAAGTCCACGGTCTTAAGAGCAACATATGCATTATTAGTGGGCTTTTTTTGTTTTGGTGTCGACAAATGTAGTGTTTTGTTGAATGTACCTTAAATTGGAAATATATGGAGGTTAATTGTACCACATAAAAAATGCAGGCTTTACTCCTGGTTAAAACAGATTTGGAAAGTCAAAAGCACTGAAATGTACTGAACAAATCAAACGTATGTAAAACTTACTTTAGTGGACAATTTACTTTGAAAAGTACTTGCAAAGAATAAGTAATCCTTGCCAAAACTGAAGGATATCCTAAAAAGAAAGTATGAATTGCACCTTTAGGGAGATGATGGAATAAACTTCAGAAAATGGCAACCCTGAAGAGCCAATGTAGTGGCACTAATGTGTAGCCAGTCCCTGTTAGCTGTGTCATATCTGATGGATAAAAGCCCATACAAGTTTATTGGTGTACACTTCACTTAACTAGATGTGACCTCTTTAGTTTCTGCACTTTTATTAGCCTGTTCTGTGTGCACACAAACCACAAAGACAACATTATGCAGTGCTATCGTCACCCTGCCAAAAGTGAATTACCACCAGGTTCTTTGATTTGGTGCCTCTTCCTGTGCATCACATATATCTTATTGCTCTCTGCTGGGGGGAGTTTTCCCTCTTACAGATATGAAGAGGACATTTCAATTGAAAGTGTTTATGTATATTCCCACTTTCATGTTTATCATCTTAAGCATACATCACATCCTTGTTATGGATAGGCTCCCTGTTGGCCCTTGATATGGTAAACTGGACATTTTATGGTTTATGAAACTGATGTTTTTATCACACACCTTTATTCATGAGTATGGCATCCAGGTTTAAATGCCTTATTTTATTAGATTTCAGTAAAACTGTTTTGCATGTTTCATATTAAATGACTTAAATGTGGTAACACTTAAACACAAAAATAGCTTTATTTTTCTTCAGATGTTGTGTTTCGCTCACACATATGGCTCTGTTCCACCCCTGGGGAATGTCCTCCTCTAGGCTAATGTGAATATTAGTATGGGTTAAATGCTCCTCTCATTTGTGCATTAATGCATATTGCATAATTAACATCTCCATTTCCAACAGCAATAGTGTAGACTTGTTGGTGTAATACTTTTAAATGTAGTGCTTTGACATAGTCTTAACAGAGAACCCTATGACAATACTATTACCGAAAGCTTCAATTTGAGGCTGCAAACAGCTAAGTAAAACAAATAAAAATACGCTTCTTCTTCGGTGGCACAGTTATTATGCTATATTTTTCCCAGTAAGCTGTACTTTAATTTTACCAAATCATTTTTGTTTACTTTACATTCTTTACATCTTTGATTGTCTAACTATAGTTTTATTATGTACTTAAAGCTAAAAAAAGTATACAGTTTTATGAGAATTTCCCATTTATTTATTTTTAAAATAGCAATAGGCCTATGTATAAAATAAAATAGCCTATGTCAAAGCGTAGGCCTATTTATTTGGTCATTTAAATTCCCTCTGTCCAAGGTGCTGAAATCGTCAGGTCACCGGCAATTTTATTTTTTAAATTTATTTTTGCATTTGATTCCTTTGTGAAGGTAATAATAGCAATAGTAAATTGACAGCTATTTATGGAAGAATAATTTGTTCTTTGTTTCACTGCGTTTTCTTAAAGTTTACACGGAGCTGCCTCACTTCGTCTATAAAGTGGCCTTTGTGTTCTAGAGCAACTTCGGGACTGAAACGAACTTGAAGATATTCCGACAGGTCAGGAGGGATTCTGGGCGATACTGAATTTGTTTTATTTTTAGAGTGAACAAAACGAAGATAAAGCAAAGTTAGTAAAAGCATGTGTTACGTTCAGTGCGACGTGATTGAATACACCAAATTAGGACAATGAACTCTGTCGTAATTACATTCCTTAATCACACTGTACGGCTCTAATTGTCTTAACTACGTGTTTCATTACAAAAGCAGGTATTATCGTTTTGGTATCCTTTTGTTTAAAATCAACATATTACAGCGTGGACACTTTTTAAATAGCCTGCTTTTCAAGAAATAACGATTGTCGTGGGCCACAAGTGTTACTGTTGAAAAACCTGTTGAAAAATCGAAATCGCCTTTACGAAAACCGCATATTTGAATAATCCAAATTACTATACAACAGTTATGTTGTTCAAAATATTTTAATAAAGCTTTTTCACACTTAATACATACAAATGACCCTCTTCGCCCATATAAGTAAAGTACAGTGGACCTGACAACAACATCTTATACCCTCAGAATTGTAATTTTAATAATTAGTGCAAAGCACGCGAAATGCTGAATAAATAAGTGAAATAATAAATAACAAAAAGACACACCGAATCTACACAAAACGTTTCCGACTTTTCTTACAAATCTCCACCAAAGTTAAAACGCGAAGGGCCCGTGTTAACTTAACATGTAGCCCAAATGCGTGCCTTCTGCCTCTTCAGTCTGAGTAAGTTGTAGTTGTTTAGTCCCACTGTCCCACTTTCCTCATTCGTGACATTCGACTATTTAAATTAAGAGTTTAGGCTTTGATCACAGAAGTTTGAGAAAGCGCTAAATCGTGAGGAAGCAGCAGATAATGAGGTGTTCACGTGAACAGGTCCAGTTCAGAGCCAGAAGTGACAGCTCAGGCCCACTGCACGGCCAGCGCTCACACCAGCACTTATGATGAACTATGTACACAATCAAGTATTGTGGCAACAAATGGATTTAGTAAATATTATAAAAGTACTCATCAGTCTCTAACGCGCTGTTCGGCGGCCGACAGCGTCTTCAAAAAGAGTTCTCAGAGTCCGTGCGCCGTCCGTGTTTGCATTAAGGCTTGTCAGTGCACTGTTTGCAGAGACTGGATGCTGAGTTGTTGAAAAGGGCACATTTATCAGGACACGAGGATGCGGGCACTCCAGTGGGAAATGGGTAACCGGGCGGCTGCTCGTACCCGCCGAGGCCAGGCGCTGCGAGAGCAGTGGTGGCCGGGATGGAGGCAGCAGAGATGGCCTGGCCTTGGTTAAGATATGCCACTAGCCTCCGCATCTCGTCCAGTGCCTGTGCTTGCATCAGGATGTAGTTCTTGGCGAGGAGCAAAGTTGCTATTTTGGAGAGTTTGCGCACTGACGGGCTGTGAGCGTAAGGGATCACTGCTCTCAACTCGTCCAGCGCATCGTTCAAATCGTGCATCCGTCGCCGCTCCCTGGCATTGATGTTTAGCCTCAGTATCTTCTGTTCTTTGGTTTTCTTACCTCCTTCTGCTTTGCCCGCGCTTACTGTCCGCCCGTCGCTCAGTAGCACCATGTCACACCTGCCGTCGCTGTCATCGTCCGGGCTCTGCTCCCCTCCACTGCTTTCTGCTGCCGATGTCCTATTGGCGCTTTCACCGTACTTTACGCACAGAGAACCGGTGGGCAACCCCAGTGGCCCGCCTCTCGCACCAGCCAGTCCTCCGGGCTGAATGGGGTCCGGGTCAGTCTGGTCGAAGCAGCTGATGGGCGACTGGCGCTCCCTCTGTGCACGCTCCAAACCCGGTGCTGACCTAAACGGGTCCATTTTAGCGCTGAGAGTTTTGTGAAAAATGTCCGCGGCGCCACCGTTCACGTTGATCCTCCGGTCCATAGCCTGCTCTCAGTCCTGGACTTAGTTGTGGCTGCACTTAGTTGCTGTCGCCTGTCTTGTGCACGGAGGTATGGGCGCGGGGAGGACACTCATGAAATAAGTGGCTCCTGCCTCTCTCTCTCCGTGGCTCTGGTTCACCTTCACTGGAACGAGACGCCCGAGTCTCTTTACATCATTATCTCGAGGCGGGTTGTTAAAGGATGCGCCTATTGGGACAGAGACCCGCTCTCCCTCACCCAATCACGTTAACGTTTTAATTAATGCCGTTTAAACGATGACAAACAATACCGCGTGTGCTCTGCGTGGCACCATGGTTTGAAGCAGTGCCTAACTAAAGACTTTGTTTACACGAGTGCGCGAAGATCGCGAAAGTATTTTCCTGTAAATGATAGAAACTTTCCTTTAAACCAAATTACATTTAAGGTGCTTTTTAAATTTAGGCTTTAGATGTTTTTCTCAATGTAGTTGTTTTCTGAAAAGATCACAATCTGTTATACTCATTAGTTCTTGTACAGAGAGGTATAATGGGGTTTTCAAGTTAAAGAAATACTCATTTCAACTCACTGTCTTCTCTGCAGTTACTTTTGCAAAGTTTAACTTGGTCACTTTCTCCTTTGTTTTATTCACAATGCAACATCTTGGAGCACGGACTTGTTGTAGTGTGTACACACTGCCATCTAGTGGCTTTTACAAAAACACACAATTATTTACACAAATATTAACTGCAGTATTATGTTACAGCCTGGCAACATTTAAAGATAGATTTTTGGGGCCTTATTTTGTGAATATCCAAAGATGAAAGATGAAATTGAAAATGGATAGTAGGAGTTAATATGAAACAGACACTTTTGATTGTTACATTCTATTTCTGGCTGGTCTTGGATACAGCACATATTTTTTGTTTGTTTGTTTGTTTGTTTGTTTTTTTCCTTTAAATGAAAGCAGCTATTTTGTACTTCTGAGATCATAGCTTGTTGTATAATCGAAGTAACTGGTTGCATGCATATGCTCAACTATTAAATTTGGTGGTGTTCACTCAAAATCCTTATTGGAAAAGAAGAATGACATATGATGACTTTTGTGAGATTAAACACAAATCTGTAATCTACTTTAAATATACCATAAAATCTAAATTTCAATAAACCTAAAAAAAAAATTGGTCAAACGGACTTTAAACATATTAATTAGTTAATATCAGGGTCCTTCTCTTTTTTTCATGACCTCAGTCCTGGACATAAATACCTTTTAGGATATTTAATAATGTAATGACAGAGGTCATCTAGTCCCCTCAGTGAGAGAGAGAGAGAGAGAGAGAGAGAGAGAGAGAGAGAGAGAGAGAGAGAGAGAGAGAGAGAGAGAGAGAGAGAGCACCTTCATGGATTATCAGGTCTAGATAATGAGACAAGATGGACCCAGACACTGCCATGACCATACAGCACTGTTCGTCAGCACTTTAGAAATGAACAGGGGTGAGCAAAGAGAACTCCAGTCAGAGTGGGCTAGGGGAGACCAAGAGCACAGAGAAGAACCAGACTTATGGTTTAATCTCTGAAGATGATGTTTTCTGTGGTTTTGATGGTCAGGTTCATGCTGCATGCTTTGGGGATAGATAGAGAGAGAGAGACCCAGTTTAGATGGTTTGGGCATATGCAAATGCCTCAAATGCCTGTTAGTGTTAATAGGAGTTTCTTCCCTCTTTTCAGCTGTTGTGCTCTGTAGCAAGAAAACCTTACCTAACCTTAATTTCTTGATTCCTTTTGCACAGATGGAGATTTCTGACTACATACAAGTTTTGTGTTTTCATATCAAGATTTTTCACAATACAATCACAACAACTAAAACATTAATTGGTGTGACAATTTTAGACAACTGGTAACTGTAACTTTACTTTATCATTCATAAATTTTTATTTCATCAGCCGGGTCAACTAAATAAATGATTTCACCGTAGTTCTTTGGTTATGGTATTCAGGTAATCAAGGATAATTGTTAACTTATACAAAAATTCAAGGTTGTGACATACCTACCGTAGAGTATGATGGAATCAGATATTTATTCTGCACACCACTTGAGGATAATGTAAAATACATAGTAGTAAAGCATGATATAACGTTGTCATAACCACAAATTGAAGGTCAGTGGTTCAAGCCACTGCAGTTGTTCTGTCCTTTGGTGATTACAAAATAAATAAATAAACAAAATTGTAAAATGACTTTGAGCATCTGGAGAAGTGCTACATTTAACTTTGTCATTGTCATTTATTATTTCCAATCAAGGACTTTGTGTGTAATATTTATTGTTAATGTGTACACGTGTGCAATGTTGAAATACCTGCAGTTCACCTTACTGCCACAAGATGGCAGACAACCCCTTTAGAGGAGCTAAAATCAAAAGCCAGCTGCATTGACTTGACGGGTGTCTTGTAGATTTAGTTCGTCACTTTGAAGGTTTTGGTTATCGGCCACTTACAGACTCTCAGCTGTTGACTTCTGATGGGAGTGTAACTTTGGACCTGCACACGTTTTCCAAATCAGAACTTATCATTTATTCATCTTGCTGATTGATAATAAACCCTTCAGACTCTCCGCCTGTTTGCTGTAGAGCTAAATGTTTTCTGCTCACACTGCTCATCTTGCGGAAATGAACTCATATTGTGGTCTGATTGTGTGACGCCCATGACATGCATCAAGTCTTACTCTTTATTTTGTGATCTGTCAAGAGTTTCAATGCGTCTATCTCCAGTTATCGCTTACAGTATATATGCAACTCTCTTTCTCATAAATCTCAATATTAATGAGAAACTCTCAGCTCGTTAATGCAGTACCATATAGTACCTGTAGGTGTCAATGTAACATCACGAAAATGTGGCAATCGAAGCAAAAGTTTATATAAAAAAACAATACTGAACATTGCACATTGCATATATATATATATATATATATATATATATATATATATATATATATATATATATATATATATATATATATAGTGTATGTGTGTGTGCTTTCGTGCTTTAAAGACCAGTTTCGATTTCTCAAGTAGACCACAATTAAGCCATTTACTGCCAACATTGATATCTATGATGTGAATAAACATGTCGATCATCAGCCTAAGAGCTAAGGTAAGGTTAACGTTGTTAAAAACAGAATTTACTAGGCGCCTTTCCCTTTTTCCCTTAAACGCAGTTTCTCGAGAATAAATTGTGTTGTGCTTTTCCCTAGTAAGCTGTTAATACAATTATGTAATAGAATTCAATAGTCAGTATATTTTAATTTTAACATTATTTAGGTATAGGAATAGGCCTACTGTTATTGGTGGAAAGCACAACTATCTTCCACAGGTTTCTTTGCGTCAAATACACAGACCTTGCCCATAGCAGACAGACGGTTTAAATGCAGACTAAATACATTATCTGGTTCCTTCTGCTAACGCTGCCTGTATGTTTACGTATTCGCTAGAGGCTGCAGACGCAATAGCCTGGTTCTACTGCATTCCTGTACTAAAGCCACAGCTGAGCCATTTCCGCCTTGTGTCCACGCAGCACTGAAACAAAAGGCTGATCTGTGGCGCGCGCCTTTCAGCACCACAGAAGGTGGACAGCGCTCCAGAAGCCTTGGTGCGGATGGACAGCTCCCGCTGACAAGACACACTCAATGCACTGCGCACAAGGAACTAGGCTCGACAAGACATTGGGTATTTTCTTTATTCGTTTAAAATATGAGCACATACATGACACTGGATAAAAACAGGTTTGACAGTTATCAGAGCGAAGTGAGGATGATCATCTCTTGGCATTCACCGCGTGCCTTAATTGTAAGACATTAAATCAAGGTCCGCTGTGAACACGGAGAGACGCAACCAGCAGTCTGTTTCGACCTGTCCTAGAAACGCGGGTACAAAAGACAAATACAAAGTGACATTACTGCAACTGTGTGGTCTAAAATAACATGGTCCAAAAATACAAATATCCAGAATCCCAAACAGGTCCAAAGACATATCCTGCCCGATCAAGGAGCTGAGTTAAGGGACACAACAGCCTGGGCAACACTATACGAGCTGTAACGCAGAATACTGCGCGCCGTTGTTGAGTAAATATTGGATCCCAGGCCGCTTTAAATAAAAAAAGCATCCGTAGGTGTCCTCTTGCTGGGTGATTTTCCAGTGTCTCAAAACATAGAGGTCCTCATTATCCGACAATGCACCTATAAGGAAAGCACAAAATGCGTCACTTCATTTGAAAAAAGCAGATCACAGTGTCCTACATTTCCATTTGACCAGCACAAAAGCGTCCATTTGACACAAAGTCACAGTCCGCTCCCAAACTATTGATTTTCCTCGTGGATCCCCCAGCCCAATTAGGAGTACGCGGGTCACACATCAAACAGCCACAAATTGTGAACGGTGCCGAAACTGCGGCTGTCCTGTGCGCAGCAGCACTCAGGGTCTTCGTGCATCTCCCTCACTGCAAAGACGCAGCCTGAATGGGACTGATCTCTCTCCGTCCGGTCTTTTCCTGTGACTTTGGGATTAATGGAGCTCCAGCCAAACAAATGAAGCATCTGCCTTCAGCACAAGAGGATTGGGACGCGGGGGGAGGAGGAGGGGGCTGACGTCACCGGCCAAACAGATGTTCCTCTATATTTCCCAGCGTCCTCCTCAGCACCAGCCCGTGTCCTTGAAACTAGGAGGGAAATTGACGAGTTTGTGTTGGGAGTACGTACGTATGGGCTATCGTTTGGCGTGGACGGACACCAGGCTGCTCTGCATTACCATGACACTGTGTGAACGTCTCTGTGTGACTGCGGATGGGCCACGAGAGGAAGTGCCAATAATGGTCCCGCAAAATGCGAAGCCCCAAATCTGGCATTGGCTGCGAACTGTTATGCAACACGCACTATCCCCAAAACCAGATCACACGTGACACTCTCACACTCACTCACGCGTACATTGACAGGCTCACACTCGCGCACACATGCACGCGCACAGGGAGTGATGGTG